CTGCTGCTGCAGCACAGTAATTGTGGGATCAATAAAGTATCTGTCGAGCCATCAAAAAGCCATAGACTGTATATAAAAACAGAAACCATTCATGTGCAAGATCAGGTACAAAGGTCCAGAAAATGGTACAAAAATAACTTGAAGAAACATTAATAGTTCATAATTCCTAGATTTGTGGTATATGAAGCATGTTATATTCATTTAGTTAGGTTTAAATTCATTAACAAAGTGTACGAGAGTTTGCTTGTTGGTTTCTGAGATCAGATGGGAAGATATTTGGAGGAAAGGATGAAGAGTTTGGAGAGCTTGGTTAAAAACCCGATAAACTGTAACAAACCGATCAGCACAAATGGTAGTAGGCATCTACTAATTAGGGCAACAGAAGACTTCTTCACCTCTGAAAATCCACCAGGGGTTAAAGTTTGGGTTCAGTTAACGTCCAACCATTGTTATAGACTTTTCACTTGGTTTATGTCAGTTTGTTTCTATTTCACGTGTAACTTTAAAAGTCTAATGTGTCCCAAATTTCCATTAACATAGTCTCAGAAGCCACGAGCAGAACAAAAACGGTAAATAGGTGCAGTTCAGTGACTCATATCAGTGGAGGTGATTCAACGGCTGCTCGTGTTGGCGCACCTGTCAGTCAAAGCGGCCACTCCCCTTAACTCTAAGCCTTTAATAAAATCCAAATAGATGACTAAATAAAAATAAAAGAAAGACCATACAGTTGTTATAAAGGTGTAAACCAACCAAAGAGACCCAAAACAATTTTTGTACCAGTCTCGTCTTTATTTCATCACTACAAATAAAGACTTAAACATGGTGGTCTATGGAGGAAATCTAGCCAGCCTCAAATGGAAATTACAGGAGAGGCAACCTGGTTTTCTTGTGTTTCTCCTGAAAAAAAAAACTTTCACGAGTTGTTTTCTGCTGCACCTGATTCTGTTTAGGATGTTCAAACCTAAAGAAAAACTACTCTAACCAAGCCAGATTCCAGTAAGCATGAATCATAAGATATGGAAACACTAAGATTGTGACGTGGAGTCACAACAGTGACAAGAAACTGTCCAGCGGGGCAACCAGAGGAGGACTTTAACCTTCAGCGTCGCTATAAAGCCCGCTAGCGGTCGTCTGCACAGCACAAACCATCAGACAGTGAAGAAGAGACAAGCTGCATCTGTAAGGTAAAAGATCTTATTTCAAACTATATGTTCTTAAATCAACCATCAATCAATAAATCCAGCTTTAAACTAAGCATCTGTTCTCTTCATCCAACAGCATCACCTTCAATCATGAAGACGCTCATCGTTCTCGCTCTTTTCTCCGGTGAGTAAATCTTCCCTTCAAATTAAAAGCTGAACTCATTTTAAATCACAGCTGATCAAATTAACCGTCTGCTTTCATCCACAGTTTGCAACGCCAACATCCTGTGGCCGGAGCCTCCCAAGTCCAACCTGGAAGTGGTGAAAGATGCCTTTTGGGATTATGTTGCAAAGGCCACACAAACCGCTGAGGAGTCCCTGAAGCAGATCAGAGAGTCCCAGCTGGGAGAGGAAGTGAAGTAAGAGTCAGCATGAGGAGTCTGAAGAAGTACAAAATATGTACATATATTATAAGTTTTCAGTTTAATAACTTCCTGTTTCTGTGTATCAGCACCAAGATCTCTCAGAGCGCCGACACCGTGAATCAATACGTCGCTACGCTGCACACTCAGGTGGCTCCTTTGACCCAGAACTTCATGACTCAGTTCTCCCAGGAGGCCGAGCAGCTGAAGGCTCGCCTGGAGAAAGACCTGGCCGCTATGGGCACCAACGCAGAGGAGATGGTGGCGAAGATCCAGACCAAGGTGGATGAGCTGAAGAGTGGAGCTGAAGCCTACGCTCAGGCCATGGATCCAGAGCCCATGAAGGCCGTCCTGCAGCAGAAGAGCCAGGAGCTGAAGGAGCAGCTGGAGCAGGGCATGAGCCAGCTGCAGGCCCAGATGGTTCCCTACACCGAGAACATGAAACAGAAGATGGAGCAGAGCCTGGAGGAGTTTCAGAGGAACATGGTGCCCCTGACCCAGAGCTTTGAGGCCCAGGTGGCTCAGAAAACCCAGGAGATCCAGCAGAGGTTGGCTCCCTATGGAGATGAGCTGAGGGAACGGCTGGACTCCAGCGCTCAGGACCTGCAGACTCAGCTGAACGCCCTGTGGAAAACCTTCACCAAGATCGCCCAGTAAATGGACTCTGTCTCAGTCTTAAGCCTTAAGCGCTTTCTCTGTATCACAAACCAAATATTTA